GAGCATCTAGAATTGTGTGTATGTGATGATAAACAAAAATTATCATCTAGAGTAATATCATGTTCAGTAAATTATAAGACGTTTATTTAAGAATTACGTTATAATGATTAAAATATAGTAACCAGTGTAAAATTAGAAATGGATCTTATTTTTATTTGAAATTCCTGAAAATATGTAAGGGTGATCATAAGATGCTGTCTGATCATTCCTCAAGATCATTTTTACAGAACTTTGATACTTAAAAAGGAAATGTAGACTTAACATGAAGAATGGTATTGTTGAGAAAACTAATGGTTGCATTTTTTTTAGAGGGGGAGGAAAAGATATTACTGTTACATAAAAGCTTATATTTATTTTTTATTTCTGTTTTTGAAGAATTTTCTGATGCTAATGCCAAATTTTACTGTCGCCTCTACTATGCGGGAGAGTTTCATAAGATGCGTGAAGTGATTCTAGGCAGTGGTGAGGAAGATTTCATTCGTTCCCTTTCCCACTCATCACCGTGGCAGGCCCGAGGAGGCAAATCAGGTGCTGCTTTCTATGCGACAGAAGGTAAGCCTTTTGAATCATTTACTAATTAAGTAGTGTCCATTTTTTCCCTCAGTTAGTTTATGAATCATTTGAATTGAGATAGTATGACATTATCGATTGTCAAAGTTTTTTGTTTTTCTTTTTATGCTTGAGAGGATGTAGTCAAACAATTAAAAGAACGTACATGTATAATGTGTGTAATGAGATAAGGCATTGATCAAGTCCTTACTATGTTTAGTCCTGAGTTCTCTAAATGTAAATAGTAAGAGAACTTACAGAAAACTCAGAAGGGCACCTTAGAGCTGAAGAGACAAAAAAAGATAAAAATAAAAACATTTAACCTGAAAATCGGAAGGCCCAGTTCTTAACCTTCAGAAGTTTACAGAAGGTTATGACCATTTGTACTTCACATTCTGCTCTACATACCCACTGAAATTATTTGAAAAAATGCAGCAGGATGGATGTTGCTTGATAAGAACTTCAATAATTCTGTGACTTACTGGATTGTTAACAAAGGAATTTATAAAATTTTATTTAGTAGTTTTAAAACTTAGATTATCATCTAGCTATGAATTTAGGGATAGTACTGTCAAAAGTAGAGGGTTCTTAACTATAAATCCTCAGGATCTCTTCCGGCCCTTCGATGATTTGAGAATTGTGTTCTGATCAGAATTTTCTGTGTGACATCAGAAAATATCTCTTAAAAGCTTAAAGCAAACAAATATTTGGGATATTTGGAGTGATTTATTGTAGATTATCTCAGTATATACTGTGATTGAGTTAACACATGAAATTTCTGCTTCTTTAGATGATAGATTCATTTTGAAGCAAATGCCTCGTCTGGAAGTCCAGTCTTTCCTCGATTTTGCACCACACTATTTCAATTATATCACAAATGCTGTTCAACAAAAGGTAGAAATCCCACCCTTGGTCTATAATCAGAATTTACTGGGCCTTTTTCACATCCTGAGGGTGAGGGCTAGTGGCACAGTTTTCCCTGTGGTAAGATGAGAACAGGACATGCACAACTGGATCTCTGTTATGTATTGAGATGTGATAGGTTCCAGTGATTAAAAAATTTTTTCTGCTACCCTTGCCGGAGAGGTAACCAGGTGATCTTGACCAGGTTGCTTTTAGTTAGTATATAAAAGCCAAATAAAAACATTAAGACTGGTTGAAATCTGCACATTTAGGAACTTGTAAGTTTGCTGAGACAGAAATTTAAACTGTGTGCTGAGAAATGAGGGGACGGGTCCCTTAGTTGAAAGAGAGAACGCCAGCAGCTGAGGTTTGCCCACTTGTGATTGTGTAGTGACCCCCCTGTAAGTGTATGGAGGAACCACTGAATTTTTTTTAGTTATGGTTTATTGCACGTTATTGTTGAGATTTTATGTCAAAATAAAATTTTTGAATTTGAGAAACTGAAGGATTATCCTTTGGGAGAATGTTAAGGAGCTAATATTTTTTACTAGCATTGCTGCTGCGCTCACTCCTGAGATGGGCAGGGGGATTGTGTCTGACTAATCATGTCAGTAGATATTGATATTTCATGGATATTACATGGATCATATAGATATCAGTATTAAATTACAAATAATCCTTTTTAATAAGAGTTTACTGTGATCTTTTCTTGATTAGAGGCCCACTGCATTAGCCAAAATTCTTGGAGTTTACAGAATTGGCTATAAGAACTCTCAAAACAACACTGAGAAGAAGTTAGATCTCCTTGTCATGGAAAACCTTTTCTATGGGAGAAAGATGGCACAGGTAAGTATATCAGACTGTGTGAAGCATCTAGTTAATGGAACACTTTGTACTTCTAATTCCTGCATATAATAAATCAGCAACATTGTATTTGATAATAAATATTTAACTTTGGTTGCTAGGCCAAATTTAACTTTTTGGACCTTCAAGGAAAGAATAAAGAAGAATATTGTAGACTGGTCCTAAAATTTTTAATAAGTCCAACATCCTAGAAACACAGAATTGTAGAGTAAGAATGCAGATCTAATTCCACAGTCTGAGTTTTAAAGATGACGAAACTCTGGCCCAGAGAAGGTAAGTACTTCATCAGACTCATACAGCTATTCCTAGAACTCAGATTGGTCTAGGTTCTAGAACAGTACTCTTCAAAATGTTGATCTTTGAACTGTTTCCAGTCTGTAATAAGGAGCTTGTGCTAGAATGTAATTCAGTGCGCTACTACCTTTATTGAGAACGTCTTGTTTTGAGAAGAATGTCAGCAGAACTAAAGTGTGCTTACTAATGTAGTTGTTTTACATTCTGGCACTAGCTCTTTACGTTATCATGAGCCAGGAACAAGCTGACCATGCTAGTCTGTACAGTACACTTCAGGTTCCCCTGACCTTTGAGTCCATTGCTTTTCCTGCTGTCCACATATTCTTAGAGATGAACCATTGCTTCTGCTTTGGCATAAAGTAATTGCACAGAGTTTTGGTATCAAAGGTTTTTAAGTTTCCTAAGATTATTTGCAGCTATTTTTTAAACTGTTTAATGATCCAGCTATATTTTTGGAGTCACCTATTATTGTATCTTAATTTTGATTAAATTGGCCAGTGTATTTCTGAAATGTTTCAGTAATCGAGTACCTAGATATTAATTTCAAATGACACAATTATACCACGATGTACTTTAACATGTATTTAATGACAGGAGCCCTGGTGGTGCAATGGTTAAGTGCTCAGCTGCTAAACAAAAGGTCAGCAGTTTGAATCCACCTTGGAAACCCTATGGGGCAGTTGTACTCCATTCTGTAGGGTCGCTGTAAATCAGAATTGTCTCGACGGCAATGGGTTTTTTATTTAACGACAAGTTATAAAAATTAAAAAGTGCAATGATAGTGACTATAAGAAGTCTTTTAACTTTTTTATTATTTGCACATAATAGTCTTACATAGCAACTCACTCATAAATTACAAAAAGTTTTCTTTCTGCTAGGTTTTTGATTTGAAGGGTTCTCTTAGGAATCGAAATGTGAAAACCGATACTGGAAAAGAGAGTTGTGATGTAGTTCTGCTGGACGAAAATCTCTTAAAGATGGTTCGAGACAACCCACTGTATATCCGTTCTCATTCCAAAGCTGTGCTGAGAGCCTCGATCCATAGTGACTCCCATTTCCTTTCGAGTCACCTCATTATAGATTATTCTTTGCTGGTTGGTCGAGATGATACCAACAATGAGCTGGTAGTTGGAATTATAGGTAAGTCAATAGGCATACCTTCCTTATTTCATGATTGAAGCTAGAATAAAATTTTGAAGATTATACTGAACCTGGTCTAATAATAGCTTTTTGAATTTCCCACAAACTTTCATTTGATATTTCAAAATTAATAGTTTGTTAATTCTAGTCCCTCTGTTCAGTTTCCTCATTTATATTTCATTATCTTCACCAAAAATCTGCTTATAAATGAGGCCCTGTAGGATGCTCTGAAGATTAAATGAATTAATATAGATTAAAAATAACTTTTAGAACAGCACCTCGCACATTGTCAGCACTGAATAGAAGTTAAAAATTGTAGAAGTGGCAGTGAAAGTAATTATTGTCATTTACTTATTTTTATTAACACAGCTTTACTGCTAATTTATCTCCCTCTAACAGATTATATTCGAACATTTACATGGGACAAAAAGCTTGAAATGGTTGTGAAATCAACGGGAATTTTAGGAGGACAAGGTGAGCAAAATGTTCATTTTGTTTACTCTTTAAACTGTTCTTAGGTCTTTTTTTAATCAATTAAAATTTTTAAAATGGATGCTGTCTTTTTTTTTAATTCTAAAAAATAAGTGGTTATCTCTCTTTCATTGTCATCTTCAAAATGACCAAAAAATAAGAGGAATTTTGTAGGTGAGCAAGTATTGGGTTTAAATTTTAGTTAAAATGCTAGAGGTTCTCAAAAGACAGTTTAAAAAAAATGCAAGAAGAAAATCAGAGGTTCTGAATAACGAGTTTCTTTGTCTTTAATAGTTTAAAAATAAGTCTTCTGAGTTCTCTAAGCACTGCTAGCTCCTCTAAGCAAGAGCCAGTCTTTTTTAATGGAAACTGCTCCCATAAAGAACACTGTCCCATGTCATATAGCACAGTGGACACCCTACCTGCTCATTTAGACTGCTCTAGTATATATGTGTTTATGGTGGTTTATGATGGAACACAGTTGGTTGAAGTCAGTTGCCCAGTCAGTTATATAACAGCCTTCTTTTCCCTTTTCTCTTTCATAATCTTAGGTAAAATGCCAACTGTTGTCTCTCCAGAATTGTACAGGACTAGATTTTGTGAAGCAATGGACAAGTATTTCCTGATGGTACCAGACCACTGGACAGGCTTGGGTCTCAATTGTTGAAGTGTGACGCACAGATTTTGAAATGGACTGTAAAGGAAAAGAGTCTAGAACAAAGGACCAAAAATAAGCTACATGTTTTATTTCTTCATTACATTCACCACTGTACGCGAAGGCCTCTCAGTTGTGTGGCTGTTTAGGCCGTCCATAGCTGAAGGGCAAAAGCTGCATGGATTTGCACTCTGGGTTTTGATACCTGTGAATTAGCTATTTGTAGGCTGGGAAGTTGCATGAACTTTTTCTCACTTAAGCTAAAGTATAGGGACACATTTCAAAGGGCTAAAGGACATGGTTGAAGGTATGGTTAGAGTTGAGGTGACAGGGTGAAAAATGAATAGTCATGTTTGCTAACTTAAGGTGTTAAAGAAGAAAACAATGTCTTGTAGACTATGACTCTCCTGGCATCACATTTGACACCTTTATTTTGAAAGCATTTGTAGAGCTGGTAAGTTTGTTTTGTGTTTCGTATGTAACAATTTAATGTTACTTATTAGAATTTCTGAAGCCTTTAAAAAAATCCCTAGTTATTCCCTTTATGGCCAGTTAAACAGGTTGGCACGACCTGTATTTTTTTTTTTTTTTTTTTTTAAGCAATTTGACTTAAACTGAGAATCTTGTCATGTTCTGTATCTTCCCAGCTTGATTTGTTTTGAGTGTGCTTGATGTTTTTAAAGGTCTTTGTTTACTTCTCTGTGGGTGACTACAGCCATTAACTTTAAGCCTTTTTTGAAGCTGTTTTTTAAAGCTTGTTTACAACTTTTGTGAAATTAAATGTTAACTGCATTTACTAATATGTTCATATTCTAGGTTTTTCTCCCTACTTTGAGGAAAACATTAGTAAATGAGACCACAGTCACTAAATCCCCAAAAGGAGAATTATTAATGAAGGCTTTTTTTTAATCTAAAAAATAAATTAGACCTGATCCAAGAAGTAGGGTGGGAAGGAAGCACTTGCTTGTTTTTTATAGAGGTAAGCATGTTTTTATCGAAAACCAGCAATTTAAGTGGCATCTGTAAAATTAAAAAGTTTCCAGTGTAGACATCCCTTTTTCTAACTTTCTACACATTGGCCAGCTGTGACTACTGAGAAATGTTAAGAGATAGTTATTCTTAAAAGGAACTTCCTGTTTCATGGCCAGAGTTTTTGGTTTTAAAAGTGATGAAAGGTACTAAACTATCTTTGAGGAAATAATGTAACCCAGAATATTTCCTGTTGGCTTCTTTCTGTAACAAGGATAATTTGGGGATTTATAAAGTTTTAAGCATTCTTTTTTCTTGGCTTTCCTATATTAACGTATTTCTCCACTATTTAATGTTGCAGTTTTCATATGATAAGAAAAAAATCTGGATATATTTCAGTTACATAGGCTATAGGTACATGAAAGAGGAACGTTTTGGAAAATTTGCTTTAGAAGATGAAAACATTAGTTTGGTATTTGGTGCTTATTAGAAACCTGGTTTGTTTTGAACTGGAGCAAGTTGAGGGGGGATTTATGACTGATGATAAGCTTTTTTTTAAAAAAAAACATGTATGTGCCTTGTGAAGACATACAAAACACTGGTGATTATAGTTTTGATATCAAAGACTAGTAAAGGAATTGCACAAAGGTGAAAGATACATGGAACTTCTTATGTGTCTGGGAACGATGGATTTTGAATGTACACACTGTCTCTGCTTATTTTACGTGTCAGGTTATTTGGTGTTATTTATCCTGTCCATTTCTCATGAGCGCTTCAAGTAGGTGTCTTCCCTTACCTGTAATCAGGTTGTTTCTTTATTTTAGTCTCAATACCATGTGCATAGCTGGACTGCTCCATGGGAATAGCTCATGACAGTATACATGTTCTGTTGATTTTGCTTACCTTGCCCATGATTGAAAAATTGTTTATTAAAGCACTGCTGCCTCTTAGGTAATTCTGTGGTTTAAAAAAATTCCAGTATGAGACGTTCTAAGCAAAAGTTGCTGCCTTGCAATGATGATCTGTCTTTTTAAAACTAATGTCTGGGCTGTATTAATGAAGGGCCACTATAAAATTTAACTATTTGTTTTGAATGGTAGAACCATATCCCCACCCCCTCCAGCTCTTGTATAGGCCACCATCAGATATATAAGTTGTTTCAAATATTGCGCTACTCAGTGTCAAGCATTAAATGGCTCAGTATTTTCCCTTTTTGAATTCCCTTTCAAGGCTTGGAGAGTATTCATGTTGAAAAGTCAGAGATGATGAAAAAATCTTAATACTTTTCTTCCTTAGAATAAAATGAGTCCTGAGAATAATTGACAGTAGTACGAGAAAACTATGTGAACATGTTGCTTTGTATAAAAACCTTATTTATAAATGAAGATTTTGATGCCATCCAAAATTTATTAAATAATAAGGATTTACTTTCTTCCTACCCCAGCCTAAGAAAATAAGGTGAATAAGCTGTTGAAGCCCTTTTGTAGTCTGTTGAATACTTCAAATTTGTCGATACTCAAAATTTCCTACAAAATTGTTCTTATAATTTTTCCTTGATCCAGCAGTGAATGGTTTTCTAACATCGTCTTTTGTTGGGTGTTGTAAATAGTAGGATTGTATTGGTTTTTGTGGTATCAGCTTCACCTGGGCATTTTACCCATTAGTAGTGGGCTTGTATAAAACTGCCAAGGAAGGTAATCTGTATGTAGAAAGTTTGCTTAGTTAGCAGAGTGAAACCTATTGTGAGTGAGCCTGATGGTGAAATAGATCAGGCCATTCATTATTCCTCAAGTGTTAACATACTGACTCATGCAGTATTCAAATCGTCTAGTGCGGTGTCTTGTTTTTTTGTAACACGGGTGCAGTGTATTATAGAAAAAAAAAATTACAATCATGAGCAGTTTTAAACAATGCTGCTTCATCGGTTTTGTAAAAAAAGTACATTGCGTCTTTTGACGTTTAATTTTAACGAGAAATGACGTTGTAAATCCTGATTGCCTCTTTTGAGAAATTCAATTAATAATATTAAAGTACTTAATGTATTATATTGTATATATTTCTCTACATCGGTTCCAGCTGTGTTTTATATGATTGAGATGTTATTTAAAAGATAACTCACTTGACCTTTTGGAGACTCGTACTGTAAATAAAGACACTTAACAATAAACTGAGAATGTACTTACTCCACTTAACCTTGACTGAGGAAATTAACAACCAAGAGAGTTTGGTGCATCAACCCACCCCCTAGCTTAGAAGTGGTGCCCGGTCTTTTTCTTCACTCTCTTCCCCTTCCATTTCCGACTAAATTTAACACCCGGAAATGGATCTGAAACCAGTCTTTCGTTCCGCCAGTAACGGCCTTGGCCGTTCGGCCTTCTCTTTCTTCCTGTGTTTTCGCTTTCTTGATAGGGTGGTCACCAAAGTCCTGCCCTTCCTCTGCCGGGATTGGCTGAATCTGCCTTGGGGCGGGGCTCTCTCGGCTATAAGTTTCTCCCGCGCAGAACAAGGTGTCTCTTCTGCTGTCTGACGTGGCGTCTTGGAGCGTAGCCTGCCGCTGTGGGAGCGGCACCGTGAGGCCCACCTTGCGGCGCATGAACTTATGAGGGCGAAGGTGAGACGGCCGGCCGGGGGTCGGACGCTGATGCGGGTGCGGCCGGACGGGCGGCTGGCGGGACGGGTCGCGGCGGCCCGGGCTCAGCACTCTCTGGTTTTCTTTTGCAGTGGCGGAAGAAGCGGATGCGGAGGTACGTGGTGCGGCGACTTTTCCTGTCCCCACTCACCCAGAAGTCGCATGTGTCGGAAATTAATTCCTTACAAAATGCGTACGTTAATGGTTAAGGAAACTAAGCTTTGTCTTTTTTTTTACTTGAAAAATACCCTTAAGAATATTCTTTTACGCCACTCTTTAAGAGTTTTTGTGGTAAGCCTCAGAAAAACTCTGTGAAAGCTTTTAGAAAAGAAGAACTTACCGGCGAAGAAGGTTTACAGACTTTAGAACTGCTAGCTCACCAAACAAAACATACTTGAGGTGTTGTAAGAGGATTAAAGGTTACCAAGCTTATAGTTGGTCTGTTTTTGGTGGGAAAACCGTGGGTTTTGTATGATTATTATGTCTGCAAAAGTTGAAAAAGCCAAACAACATTGTGTTAGGTATGCAGTAACTTGAAGGAAGTGACCAAGATTTCAGTTATTTGGGAGACTTGAACTTGTTGGAGTGGCTTTGTTGGAAGTTATCTCAGGTTGTAGAGTTTGTTTTTTCCTCCCCGCTGTGGGATGCGATATGACCCATTGGTAATGGAGAGAGGGACAATGTCAGTTATGCTTCCACACGTTTCCTGCCTGCGTCTTTTTTGATTCACTACTACCGTTGTAGGACAAGGGAGTTTAAGTGGGGCTCACGGTGGGGAAGGGGGTTATAAACCTGAAACTGCATACATAGTAATGTGCGTTTTTCTCTGGAGCAGGCAGAAAGCTTTCAGGAGTCTTGCGAAGTTAACCTGTCCCAATTGACCTTAAAATCTCATAGCTTTAATTTTAATACTATTATAACTTTATCTTCCACCAAAGTCGGTATTTCTACCAGCCCACTTTAGTAGTATTATCCCGGACTAGATAGGTAACTTTGCTTTTCTGCAGCTGCTGAGTCCCTGCCTTTGACCCGCAGGCATTTTCATGTTTCCAGGGAGGCAGCATGGTATATAGAGTTAGGACATTAAGACCCAGAATAAATTCTGGCTGTGGATATTTAGTAACACATTTACTGGGGAAAGTCGATTAACTGCTCTGTTAATTTCTTCAGTCTGTGAAATGGACTAATAATACACATCATGCAGTTTTGTTGTGATTAAGTAAGACACTAAATGTAAAATGGTTAGCAAGGTTATTGGGGCACAACATACAGTTTCTTTACTCTTTAGGATCAGTCACTGTCAGTGATAAGCTTTTGAGCATGAACCCTCATTTATGTACATGTGTATTTAAAAGTGACATGCATGGTCCTTCTGTACTCATCGTTTATAGGACAAGATAAAGATGCTATAGGGTTGCTATGAGTCGAAATCGACCTGATGGCAATGGTTTGAGTTTTTTAAATGTAGAGAACTTTAGTGCAGTGTTTAAGAATATGGCATGGGAGCCAGACTTTGTGCATTAAGAATGTGATTTCTGCAACTTCCTAGCACTGGGACCTTGGACTTTCTCTGTCTAGGGATGATGGTACCATGTGGGATTGTTGTGATGGTTTTATAAAATAATCTGTGTGAAGCTTTGACAACATTGCGTGGAAAATAGTTCTCAAATATTTGCTATAGTTACTAGAAATTCTTTTTGTCTGACATTCTTTCATATCACATTTCAAAGATGTCTAGAACCTAGAGGAAAATGAAATCTGTACCTGTATATATCCTCTCTCTCCCAAGTTTCTGTATCTTATTTTGATTTGTTTTTCATAGAGAATAGGAATGAATAATGAGTCATGAATTTCATTTGTTCCAAGGTCCCCATCAAAAACATGTGTTCAGTAATATTTGAGTACTATGTACCAGGTTCTATTCCAGGTGTTGAGTACATAGCAGTCAACAAACTCAATGTAACTGCCGTACTAGTGACCCAAAACCAAACCCATTGCCATTCCAACTCATAGCGACCCTGTAGGACAGAGTAGAACTGCCCTGTACAGTTTCCAAGGAGCAGCTGGTAGATTCAAATTGCCAAACTTTTTGGTTAGCAGCGAGCTCCTAACCAGTGTGCCACCAGGGCTCCTTTACTAGTGACAGCTTCTACAATAAGCAGTGTGTTGTGTGTCAGGTAAATGCTGCAGGGGAAAATAAGGAGAATGGGAAATAGAGAATCGCAAGATGTTATTTTATACAAGGTGTTTAAGGAAGGCTTCACTCTCAGGTGACATTTCACGAGTGACATAAAAAAGATAGGGAGGAAGTCATACAGTTATGTGGGTAATATTCTTTTCACTCAAAGGCCTCAAAGGCCCTGAGATGGAAGCCTGCTGGTTTGTTTGAAGAACAGCCAGGAAAAGTTGGCTTGAAGTGAGGAGGGTAGTTAAAAAGAGTTAATAGCGCTAGACAAGAGATTACGTGGACCTTAACCCTTGAATGGAAAGCCATCAGATAGGTGGTTTGGAGTAGAGGTGACACAAAGATGGCTTTGGCATCTTGTGAATAGATGGTAGTGTGGAAGCTGGAAGACCAGTTAGGAGGCTGTTGCAGTAATTCAAGCAAACCATGTATGGTTGAGTCATAGAGATGCCCTGTTTAAATTAAAAAAAAAAAAAAGGTTAAATGGTTTGTCCAAGATGACAGAGCTGGGATTAAAACCCAGACATTCTAGCCCTTGAGTCTGTTGTTCTCTTTACTGAGGATTGGGAATCCTCAGTAGTTAACATTTATTAAGTGTTAACTTTGTGGTAGGTGCTGTATTAAGATTTTTCCATTGTATTAAGTCATTTGATTTATTTAAGAGATTGTCACTTAAAAGCTTGGGGAGTAGTTTGTAGAAAGGGTACTTGGTTAAGACATGGGCTAGTGTGTACCTCTGGGCAAGTCTTTTTTAATAATTAAATCCACTTTAGGGCGTGTTCAGAATACTTTGTAATGCTGTGATGTGATAATACATTGTAAATTTAATCAGTTCTTAACTGAGTAAACAGTCAAAATGTTGAGAAGTGAGTGTACTTCTAGAGATGTTGAATAATGTACTATTATCTGCTAAGGAAAACACTGGAATGGTACCTAATATAATAAGATGGAATGGTTATGTAAACTAAATACATACCAGCTGAAAAGATCATTATTAAAACTCCAGGAAAATAGTTGTGACTTTTCGAGACTGTCCATTGTAGGTATGTAAGAATATACAAAGAATTGTGTTGGTGATGAAATCGGGAACAATATTTCCATCCCCCTGATTTATGTCAAAAAGAAAACTTCTGTTCTATAATAAGTATTTTGATGTCTTAGGCTAAAACGAAAGAGAAGAAAGATGAGGCAGAGATCCAAGTAAAGTGTCTTGAAATACTGATAAGCCATGGAGTGAGATAAATCACCAGCTGCTGTCCTAGAAATTGCTTCTGATGTCTTCACCTCTTGAAAGAAGATTTTTCTTCTCTGTAAATCTCTTTTCCTGATTGTTATACAGAAAATAAAGACTTTTCTTAGTAAATGCCTTTTAATGCTTCCTTGGATTTAGCTGTCTTGAATTTGTCTGGTGCTGAATGTTTGTTGCATTTGTTGTTCTTAGGTGCTGTCCAGTCGGTTCCGACTCATAGCGACCCTGACTGTCTGCTTTACCAAGCATAAAGTCCGTCTCCAGGGACTGGTCCGTCCTGATAACATGTCCAAAGTATGTGAAATGAAGTATCGCCAACAAAGAGCATTCTGACTGTACTTATTGCAAGATAGATTTGTTCATTCTTCCTGGCAGTCCGTTGTATATTCAATATTCTTCATCCATTACCATAATTCAGAGGCATCAGTTCTCTGGTTTTCTTTATTGTCTAGCTTTCTCATGCATATGAGATAATTGAAAATACAATGGCTTGGGTCAGGCATGCCTTAATCCTCAAAGTGACATCTTTTCAACACTTCAAAGAGGTCTTTTGCAGCAGATTTGCTCAATGTAATAGATCATTTGATTTCTTGACTGCTGCTTCCATTGGATTTATAGTCTCCAAATAACAAAAAACATGACAAGAGGGGGAAAATGTTAGCTTGATAATTTCTCAACTGCACATGAAAACTGCTTGAGCAGGGGTAGACACTAAACTTGGGATATGTTCAGGAGATGGTCTGCATTTAGCCCGTTAACATAAATTTTCTAGAGACCCCCCACAGAAACCTCCCCATACCCACCCCACTTCAATGAGTTCTAGATTCTTAACACAAGTTCTCATGCTGAGGCACACCCAAGATTTGAGAGCACTGCTGTATATGTCACTAGTAGATATGTCTTTGGTAAATAAGTGAGGAACTGGGCATCATGCTAGGTAGGCACAAACCAACCCTGGCCCTAGGTAACTTATAACTTGGGCATCTGTGGAGGAACACAAGCAATTGTATGTTTGGTAATCTAAGCACTTACCTAGTCATCAAACCCACCCAGAAAGGCATCCTGAGTCAGTGAAACTGAGGTAGAAATGGTTGGGGGCAGGAAGGTATTTGCATAAAGATTGCTGGAGTTAAGTTAATGGACCAAAATGAGGTTGCAATGCTGAGCAGTGGCCAGTAGAGGGCCTTGAAGTACTTGAGCCTAAGATTTCCAAATTCAATATTAAGAGCAGTAGGAAGCCCTAAGGAAAACCCTGGTGGTGTAGTGAAGTGCTACAGCTGCTAACCAAAAGGTCAGTTCGAATCTACCAGGCACTCCTTGGAAACTCTATGGGGCAGTTCTACTCTGTCCTATAGGGTCGCTATGAGTCGGAATCGACTCCATGGCAATGGGTTTTTTTAATGGGTTAGGAAGCCCTAACGGGACCGTGTGGACTTGGGGAGGATAAGTCCCAAAAAAAGCAAAAAAGCTTTGCTGGAGCCCTACATGTTTTTTAAGTTACTCTTTGACAGCAAGGGCCTTGGTGGTGCAGTGGTTAAAGCTCTCGGCTGCTAACCAAAAGTTTGGTGGTTTGAACCCACCAGCTCCTACATAGGAGAAAGATGTGGCAATCTACTTCTGTAAAGATTTACAGCTTCAGAAACCCTATGGAGCAGTTGTACTCTGTCCTGTAACATTGCTGTGAGTCAGAATCAGCTCCACGGCAGTGGGTTTGGTTTGGTTGGTCTTTGACAACAGTTTATTACATCTCAGAATATGTAGTGTTTAGGATTAATTGGGAGCCCTGGTGGCGCAGTGGTTAACAGTTATGGCGAGCTACGGCTCCTAACCAAAATGTTGGCAGTTTGAATCCACCAGCGTCCTTGGAAACCCTGTGGAGCAGTTCTGCTCTGTCCAGTAGGGTTGCTATGAGTCAGAATTGACTCGATGGCAACAGTTTTCATTTTTGGTTCAGGATTAATTGAAGTGTTTTGAGGTAAAAGTTTTGGAAATTGTTTTATGTATTCTACTCAGACCTGTTTATTTTAAAGCATTAAAAACTTTTTATATTAAAACATGGCATGCTTGACAGATTTGCCTTCCATATACCACTGAAGTGGTAGATTAAGGCCTGTTAGTAAAAATAAATTTACTATGTATAGGAATAGCCCTGTAAAAATAAATTACTGTGGATAGGAATAGCTCCACCCTGAATTGACGATTTTAATGAGATTAAGTATAAGGATCTTTTCTTCCCTTTGTTTTCAGTATCCTATTAAAATACTTTCCTCCTTCCCCAATTCAGAGAAGCAACATGTTTTAAATTTAGAAGACAGGCAAATGAAAAGAGGCAGATGTACTGTCATTTCAGATGGTTCTTTCCCTGGCCTTGGGTAGTTTCCTCGTGTGGATATGCTGATGAGCACTCTGCTGGATACTCAGGAACCCTCTGCAGATCTCTGGGTCTCTGCCCTATGAACTCTAGCTGCCTTTGACTCCCTGGACTCTTCTGCTCCTTAGGAAGTCTGCCAGGTTCCCCCTCAGTTCCACCTAGTTCCCCCTTGTGTCTCAGTCTGGAAACTTTTCAGGCAGTAATCTGGTACAAAAGTAGATAGGATTCACCACATTTGTTTCCCATCTCTAAATTGTAATTGTCCTTTTCCTGGGTAATGTCCAGTGTCTTGAAAACTCATTCCATATATATATATATATATATATATATATATGTATATATATGTGTGTGTGTGTGTGTATATATATACGTGTGTGTGTATATATATATATATGTATATATATATAGGATGTGTTAGGTGGGAAGGTACAGCTAGTCCCTGTTACTCCATCTTGGCCAAAAGTAGAAACCCAAGTCAGGTGGAATTTTATAAAGATTATATCTAAATGCTGTGTTAAATATTTAATACAGTGTTTTCTCTGTCAAGGTAAAAGCTTTTTATTACTGTTTTAAAAATGATTTTAAAAAAATCCAACCTTTTCTAATTGAAGTCCTATTGCTTGCAAGAAATCAGACAATACTATAGGGAGAGAGCATTTTAATTAGTTCAGTATGCAAAATATGTTTTGAGGTACCATCAGATAGTTGTGACTCTATACACAAGTGTACATTATCATGTTCTGGTCAGAGCGTGTTCCTGGGAGGAAAGAACCCTAAGCCAGACTCCTGGAGTTGCCACCATGTTTGCCTTTTAGTTTCTCGTCTTGAAAGTGTGGCTGTCTAGAAATGCTAAATGGCTCTTTAGTTTATTGACTGTAGAACTTGGTAGGTGCTTCTAGATTCTTTCACTAGAGTCTGATGGGCATTTCTGCTTCTCGTAATGCCACCTTTATCTTGGAGAAAGCCATCTTGTAGCTCCAGCCCCATACAATCTGACAGTCATTATCCTCTCCAGTAATAGCAATTAAAGCACCAAATTACAAATCATGAAAGATCTATTCCTTAGGAAAATCTAGCTCACGGTGCTAAAGACACACCCTGTTGTTCTGTAAGTGATTTCTCAAGTAACATCTGTTTTGACTGGTCACATCACTAATAGGGATGCTATTGTATCTCTCCCATGATCATCTCTCAAAGCTTGTAGGTGGAAATTATATAAAGTGTTACTCCAGTTTCAGAGAATTAGCTATGAACCAGTGGTCTCTGCTCTTTTGCTCTGTCCATTGGAAGTTGATTGCAATTATAGATGATACTGAAGAAGCTGGATGAGACATCTCTGAAAAATCCAAGCTCTTCAGTTATGATTGATAGTGGTCTCTCATTGCCTTAAGGGCAGGTTAATCCTGAACTGGAATCTGCTATCTGGCACATTCTGTCCACCACAGGAATGATATTTTGTCTACTTCTCATTAACATGGTGCGTACTATTCACAATACTGTCTCAGAAATACTTTTCTCTCCATACTGGCAATAAAAACCACCTAGTGAATAAAGTTTCCCTGGAATAAGTCAACTCATGTTTTTGTTTATATCACTTTGGTCCTCAATTCTTTTTTGATTTTGCAACATTTTCCCTAATTGTTGTGAGTGTGTATACATGCGTATACAAATACGCAGAGAAAGTCATTCATATATCCGGATGATTCTAAAGCACTTTCTCATTTGTTTTGGTTTTGCTTCCAGCCAAGTTTAATTAACCAGAAGAAACCTAAACTGTATAATGGAAGCTATTTTTAATTAAGAATAAGTTATGTAGCAGTATGAATAAACTGATGATTTTGAGACTTCATGCTTACAAGATCTTATAGGTAAGATTTACAAGTTTTAATTTTGGTAATTTGCTACAATATTCACTGATTTTAAAAATTATGAAGTAAGTATTGACTGCTCCTACTACTGTTCCACCACCCCTCTGTCTGTCATACTATGCTGGCTTGCTTGTTGCTATGATGTGGAAAGATATGCCACCAATATTTCAAACACCAACAGGGTCACTCATGGTAGATAGGTTTTAGCAGAGCTTCCAGATTAAGACAATAAAGGCCTGGTGATCTAATTCTGAAAATTTGCCAATGAAAACCTTATGAATCACAACAAAAACTCTGACTTGCTTTAGACACATCATTAGGAGAAATCAGTTGCTGGAGGAGGACATCATGTATGGTGAAGTAGAGGACCAGCGAGGGTGAGGGGAGGAACACCCTCGATGAAATGGACTGGCATAGTAGCCATAGGATGGACTTGAACATGCAGCAATCATGAAGATGACTCAGGACTGGACAGCATCTCATTCTGTTGTACATAAGGTCACCTGAGTTGGAGTTGACTGACAGCTATCTCCACATACTATTGTTCCAGAAAAATATATAGGTATTTATGAATGAAGAAGCTTGTTTTCAGAGTGACAGCAAACTTATTTTTAGGGTAAGACAAATTCTTCTAAGTCCAAGCAAATACTGGTTTTATAGTTCAGGTGAATTTTCATGCCTCCACAGATGGGTAATAAGTCTGTTCACATTTATACAATATTTTGAATCCATTGTGTGAACTGGACGAAGTTATTTTTCAATCCATTTTATTACTTAATCAGTCTCATCCTGAAGGAGGAGATGTTCCTTCTTTCAAGCTTAACTCTCTTCTCTCCTCTTTTGTTCTTGATCCTTTTCTCTCTTTGTGTTCTGTT